CACGACACCTCTAATAGCGGTTGATATAATTTGCCGAAGATTTATTGGTCAGCCATGTCGTGTTTTATTGCAAAACGTTATCATGTATATCGACAAAGACTTTAATATAATAAATGACAGCCATATTTGTCAGCCTAATCATCAATTCCCTTTTACAGGCAAGGTGTTTATCAATGGAAACAAAAGGCAATCCAACATTAATCCATAAAATGGTCATGTTAAATGAAACTGGGGAAACTTCGAGAACACGGGGAGGGGAAATTACCTCTGACAGACAACTTTCATAATATATTATGTAAGACAATCTAGAGGTGTCGTAGTAATTTCAGCACTTGACTTGACTAATGTAACGGTCGTGGGTTCGATCCCCGACACGGCACTAATGTCCTTTGGCAATGCATAAATCTGAAATCGCCACTCCATAACCAGGAGAGAAATGGGGACCTGGTAGGATGACGAAAGCCCTTGTGTTAGTAATTGCTGTATGCCCTCATGGTGACCATGTGGTAAGAATACATCCAGTGAGTTGAGATGGTGCATATTGTGAATGAAAGAATCCGATGACCCGGGTAATCTTATGTTTATAAGCGCTTGGAGATGGTGTTTTGTAATAAGTGCTATGTAAATCAAGATTACTATTATTATTAATCTCTGAGGTGCACCGGTAGCAGGCCTACGCTGGGAATGAAAGGATATCTAACGTGTGTATTACAATAAATCCAAATAAAGAAAATTTATATTTCAAGGACATTGCCTTTGGCAGTTTATTTTCCAGCTTTCAAGTAAAGAGGAACTCTTCACCTTTCCATTGATCCATTTCTATTGATGTCATGCATGATCGAGTACATTGTAGATGACAGGTACGTATGGCATGCCAAAAAGCAAATAATTGAAAATATGTGGTTTTATTTTTGTATGTGAAATAATATGTGTTCATAAACTTGTTATGCGTAAACCTTTAATTTTCGTATGCATAAAATGTTTCTACTATATTTGTTATTGCAAATACTGTATGTATAACTCCTAATGCTTAAATGCTGTGTTATACACTTTTTGTAACGCATTGTTTTAAATAAATAACTTTGTCAATGCATGCCGTTATTTATAAAAAAAACTTTTTGTTATCGTTTTATAAATTGCAAATTTCGTCGGCCTTTCAGCGTTGTGTGTACAATAATAGCTCACCGTAGGAATGGACCATGTATGCTGATGAAAATAAAGATAGAAATAACCTGTCTGACAGAGCGAATTGAAAAGAAGCAACAGTGTCGGTGCGATTTCTCCAACGTTGTATTGTATCCCCAATTGTTGTATTTAAAATCGACTTGATGGGAGGCGTCCCTAAGACCAGGGGCGGATCCAGCCAGTGTTTAATTGTATAGGTATGATAATGTATGGCAATAAATCCACACTAAATCAGTATTATAATGGTAATTTATTATCAATATCCATCAAAATAAATTGATAGGTGCAAATGTTAGTTGATCTCTACGTATCCTTCTTTCTCATATTAGTTTCCCCTCTTTCCTGTATACCATAACGTTCTATCCCCCAAACACACACACTTACACGCGAACTCACATTGGAACAAACACACACACACATACACACACACACACACACACACACACACACACTATCTCTCTCTCTCTCTCTTTCTCTCTTCCTCTTCCTTCTCACTAAAGGCCTTTTCATTTATTTCGTTCATGAGCTGCAGGAAGTGCTGGCAGTGATTTAAGGGGAGTAACAGGTTGAGTAAATATGAAATCTATTTTGAATCATAGGAGAACATTGAATTGAAAAGGGACGCTATTTCTTTGTCTTCGTTTGTTTGCCTTGTCATCGAATTCTATAGAGGGAAAAATGCTTGTCACAGGGTTGTTTCACTTGTTCGCATTCAGAAGTCCCATTTTGGGGAAATGCCCCCAAGGTTCTTCTTTCTCCCTCTCTCTCCCTCTTTTTTTATTCTTCTCTCTTTATATACATATAGGCCTATATCAATCCCTGTAAGCTTCTTCATCGCATATTCGTATTCTTTCATATTCCTCCCTTTTATGCTTCGTCTTTATCTTATCATTTGATTGAACTCTGAAATATAACCAACCCCCTTTGTATTAATCATGAAGATTTGTTGCCTTTATTCTTAAAATCTTTGTACCCAGTTTTACCAATAACATGTAAATATCTTTACTTGATCAATTTGAATAAGCCAGTTCAGAAGTTTTCATCTGCAAATAGGTAGATAAAGGTCATTAAGGTTGTACATAACTGTATAAACAGATTTAGACAAATGCTGAATATGTATTCATGAAAGTTAAGTTTGTATTATTCATTTACGCACCGACGGTACACGCTGTGATGCGCACGTAAACATATGTATTTAAAGTATTTAAAGAGGGCAATCAAAAGTATATTTAAAAGCATCTCCGTGACTTCTGCAAGCATGATTGTACAATGAGCAAAGACTTGTCCGTGTTAAAATATCAATATACGAATATTTGAGGTCGTTTCTATTGTGAACATATGTGTTTAAAGAGGGCAATTAAAAGTATATTTAAAAGCATCTCTGTGACTTCTGCAAGCATGATTATACAATGAGCAAAGACTTGTCCGTGTTAAAATATCAATATACAAATATTTGAGGTCGTTTCTATAATGTGCTACAAACTTGACTAAAGACAAATAAAAAACATCCGTAGGCTCTGCCCTCACATACGGGAATTTAATAGGCAACATCTTGAAAAAATATTTCATCATTTTAAAATTGCGTTGCCTAGGTAAAATAGGTAATATTGAATTAATAAATGGTCAAATTTGTGTGAATTTTGTACAAATTTGGGATACAAATACAAATACTTGTGAGACGCAGCATTTTCCAAATGTTATAAATGAATAGGATCAGTGCACAAAACGTGTATACCTGTCTTCTGATTATTTGTTTGCAATATCTGCTATTGACTTTTCCAGCTACAAATCGTATTTCCAATGTCACTTTATTCCTACAAGGTGTTTGCTTGTGGTGGTACGTTAGCTTTATAGATAAGATATTAGTGAACTTAGATTGTTATAAAAATTGAAAAAATACATCATACGTAAATTAAACGTCAAAGTCATTACAATGTGTAAACAACAACTGTAAATGTCATGCAAACAACATACCTAGACGAAATATAAGTTCTACGAAAGTGATTTGCAACATAACATGGAAAAGCGATTTTTTTTTTTTCTTCTTCCGAAACAAGTCATCGCAGTAAGTATATCCAGCGACATCTTCTCCTTTTTTAAATCGAAGTAAAAATGATATCTATGGAAAGCTTACGATAAATAATAATAAATAATAGCTTATAATAAAACATAAAATGCTCATTATCGCTCTTTATTAAAGGTAGTATGTCCCATTTGCAGGCCAAACAAAAGAAAATGTGTAATTCCAACGGCAATTGAAAGTAAATACTAATTTTGAACTTACCTAAAAAAAGGGGGCTTGGAAATTTCTTTAAGTGGGCAAATAACGACTATTAGTTGTCGAATCGACTGAAGAGCTATAGAGCCAGTAAAAGTAATAGTCTTCAGTTTTCAGACCATTGTACCGAATGGTTGTACGTTTCATGCTGCGCAAAAATTTAATCAGTGTAATTTTGGCCATTACAAGTGGGTTATTGATGTAGACAAATGCTCATGTACCCTTTACAACTCATGTTATGCATGTTATTACCAAAGAAGGAAAAAGGCCAATCAGTCACTAAATAGTGTCTGACATTGAAGCCTAGCAAGTAAACGGGTTTCCTTGCATAATTTTAATATAAGGACACTGGTAACGTTTACATTTCACAGATAGGACATACATGACATATTCATAATTTATGCAAAATTCTGCAGAATTTGATGTTGGCTGCAAAAGGGTCATAGTATCTTTAAAAACGAATATTTACAGTGAGAAACAGTAAGTATTTGTGGCATCAAACTAATTTGTCATACAGAGAGTATTTCAAGTTCAATGTATTCAAACTTATTTTTTTCTATACAAAGGTGAGTTTACTACGTAATGTATTTTCACATTTATTTTGTTACGGCAATGACTTTATTTTATTTTACTGTGTGCTGAACGTGATATATTTGTAAGTATTCATATCATAATCAAAATATAAAGTGGTACAAAAAATATCATACTTATACAGAGATATATCACAGTTTATCATAATGGCCCAGGACAATAAATCTTCTCAAAAAGGAAAATGTAACATTTATACATAAATCGTGCATTTTCTACATATACTACACATACTTAAATAATCTGCTATGCATGAGATACTTACAATTTTATAGTTAATAGTATATAGTAAAATCAATATTTATGTTTTCCTTAGGTTTCCCAAACCTTTATTATTCTTATGTCATGTGTACTGATAACATACACATAATATAATGCAACCTTTGCATTTGTACATTAAATGTAGGCATTCACATTTAAAGGTGTAATAATCACTCCAAATACTATTGGGGAGAACAAAATTATATCTTATTTGTTTGTGATTTAAAGTAAAGTCTTAATAGGAGAATTATGTTTTTCGTTAATTCGATTAAGTCCCTTACAGTTTTTTATATTTTATTTCTGAGCCCTTATCACTGTGATGACGCAGGCGTACGAGCGTGGACATCACATAGACTTTATGTATTTGACTATCCGTATGGCAAAATATTGTTATGTTATACCTTACTATTGCATAGGAATAGAATTTAAGGGCACCTCAGTATTGATACTTTATAAGAATCGTATTAATCTGTTAGACTACTAACATTTGTATTTAGGAAACATAATGGTAACATGAAGATGAGTATACAAGATCCAGGAGAATCATATCTCGGTATAGTCATAGTTATTCACCTGCCAATGTAAAGTTTTGTGATTGTCACTATGATTAATCTTTAAGCAAGTTACATTGACATATAAATGTGTAGAAAATATATATACAGTCACAATAAAGGTTGTCTGAAAGGGTTTATCCACCAAAGGCTTTTTGAGGAACATCAATAACTACTTTCATGCATAAAAGCATCACTAGTTTCTCCGAAGATGTCTCGGTCGAGGCGATGTTAGAAAGCCAGTCGCTATAGTTGATGCCGATATCTTCTACACCCCCTTTATCCGATGTGTTAGTTCCTTCTTCAAACGGCTCGTTAGAAGACACGTTGGTTTGTCCTCCTGAGGAACATTGTGCTGCAGATGTGCTATCCATCACGAATAGCTTTTGAGAATCTTCCATTTTTTTAGAGTGTCCTGGTCCTGTTCCTGTTCCTGTTTTGGGGAGATGGTAATTATCAAGACTAGCATCAGTGCTCTTCAACATGAGCTGGTCCAGAATAAATAATGAATCTGATCTTCTCAGCAACACCCAACCCCCCCCCCGAAAAAAAAAAAAAAAAAACAAAAACAAAAACAAAACAAAAACAAAAACAACAACAACAACAACAAACAAACAAACCAACAAGTAGAACAAATCTGACAAACGACATATAGACATATAACAAACACGAAACCGGCATACCCTTATTCATGTTACATGTTTATTTGTAAAGTGACATTACAAGACGGATGAAAAGAGATAGTTATCATGATTATGGCGGCTTGACGATATGTTCTCCTTATTTCTGGTTTCGTGGAAAGCAGGCAGACAGTAGACATTAATTTCCTTTTTGTATTGATTATATCACGAATCAAATCAAATTATCAAACCGGTTTTATGATGACCTTACCTTGTGGAAAATAATGGTCAGCAAGGTCCAATAATTTGGCAGCCACAAGCGCCCTCCTCAGTTCCACCCGTTCATCTTCCCTGGACACACCTCTTCTCCATTGTTTCAGCATGAGATGGGTTCCTCTACTGGTGATCTGTTCGTATCTCATGTTGGTCTTGAGAGCTCTTGCTATGTCACCCCGTAGAACTCCAAGCTGACTACCCAAGCTATCGATCTTGGCCTCATCGGAAAGATCGTCAGCTATCTGCTTCAAGATGTCTGCAAACTCATCATTGGGTAGTTCAACGCTGAAAATATATAACTCAGCATAGTTACAGAAAATAGAAGATATGACATTTTTGTTTTGGCTTATAAAATAAAAAAGGTCAGCGGATACAAGTTAACAATCTGCAATGATGGAAAAAGTCGTACAAATCAAAAAAAATTCTCTATCCGGTTTCGTTTTGCAGAAGTATGTACCACAACTTGATTCATAATAAGTATTCAGCGTTGACCTTTCAAGGAATCCCAGACGGGAATAGTAATAAGAAGACCAAGAACATGAAGCACAAAAAACAAGAATATAGAAAGAAAGAAGAAGAACAACAAGGAGAAGAAAAATTAGAAGGAAGATGTGGAAAATAAGAAAGAAGAACAATAAAAAGAAGAGGAAAATGCCCAATATGATTTACATTTTTTATTGAGATTTGCCCTCATTCCAAAAAAACGCTATACCTGAATAAATAGACAATTATTATTTTCGGAACCAGTGTAATTAATCGACATGCAAAGGTTGTTTCAACTTACTCTGCATCTGATGAAGTACTCCTTCCTGGTGGATAGCATTCTCTAATTGAATTATCTTCAGAAGAAGTTATCCCTGCCATGAACATAGAATATTTTGATTTATTGAATTGATACGATTACTCAATAATTAACATTTCAGATGACCGGATCGTTATTGGCAGTACATATCTATGTACGTGCAAAACATAAACAAACGACAATTATAAAATATCAACATCACATGATGATGTATCACCCTTGATAATGGTATTACCCTAGTCAGGTCTGCAGACTACTTTCTTGATTAATTTGTATATCGTTTCGAAATGTGATAGTTTAATTCATTTAGTAACCAAATGCTGAAGATGAAATAGTTTAAACTAAAGATATTGGGATAGTAGTATGAAGAGACGTCAACAATAATATTTGAAAATAGTCTTACCACTCTGAACCGGCTTTCCAGAATTCATCCAGGGAATTAAACTCTGCATCCATTGAGGTGTCTCTGTTTTCTTCTTCTGTTCTGCTGATCGTATCTCGCTTTCTAATTGAATGTTGGTTCTTAGCTTCCAGGTCTCACGCTCAAGTTGCTCAAATCGCGCTCTGTCCTCCTGCCTTTCGTTCTTTAACTCTTCAACTTGCTGTCGTACAATCATCTCGTTTCGCTCTTTCTCCTCTACGATTTTCGTCAAAGTGTCTATGCGTTGTTGCTTAGATTCGAGTCTTTTCTTCATTTCTGCTGCCAATGAGCGCTCCTTTTTCTCAGCTCTCGACCCGTCTTCCTCCCTTCCTTTCTTTAATTCTTCAACTTGCTTTTTCAGAGTCGTCTCATTTTGCTCTTTCTCCTCTACAATTTTTGTCAAAGTGTCTTCATGCTGCTGCTTATACTCGAGTTTTTTCGTCATTTCTGCTGCCAGTGAGCACTTCTCTTTCGCAGCTTTTGCTCTTTCGTCCTCTTTTTCGGTTTGTTGTCGCTCAACCGCACGTCTTGCCGTCTCTTCGGTTTTCTGTAAGTTTTCCATAATTGTTCCGATGTACAGCTCTTTTGATTTTAGTTTCTCCTCCAGCTCCAGCTCTCTTTCTTTGTACATCTCCATAGCGTGCTTTGCTATTTTCTCATTATCACCTAAGGTCATTGTAACTTGCATTCGCTTTTCTTGTTCGTGCACCATCTCGTTTTTAAGTATTGCGTGGTCGTTGACAAGGCCCTCATAACTGGCAAAGGATTCTTCACATTCCCGTTCCAGCTCCTTAATTTCGTTTCGTAGTGACCTCTTTTCCTGTTTTCGCTCTTCAATTTCTTTAATTATCTTCTGATTTGCTTCTTTCGCCTCTTTCTTTGCTTCATTATAGAGCAGCGTACACCTTGTATTCGTGCACGTATTTTCCAGACCATCGTTTGCTAATACTCTGTCACCCTCTTGGAGGCATCCATGTAGAAGGTCGAGATACTGCAAATGATCTTCATTTGAGAGATTGGAATGGTCAGGGTAAGGTAATTCGTAGATATCAGTGATCCCGTAACGCTTTAATTCATCTTTCGCTTTGTCGATGGCTTCACGTCTGCCAGTAGAAAGTATGGTACAGATAGGGACGTGACCTATTCAATCGAAACATATTCAATGAGTTTAATCAAAATAACGTCCAAAATCATGTTGATGTTATGACTTCTATGTACCAAATATATGTCACCTATTCTGTATTCTTTTAAGGAAGATGGAGTTATATTTTGAAATAAAATAATAGAGAGAATCTGCAATGCCTCCTTCTTCTGCTTGTGTTTCCAATATTGACATACACTTTTGTGTTTAATTCGAATAAAATCCCATGTCTCGGCTCAAAATTAACAAGCTTAATCCCCAGCAAAGGAAATTGATAATTAAGCACCTACTAATATGTTAGGGGGTTAGTTTATGTTAAGCTCATACAAATGTTATATTGGTTTAATGAAGGAAACGCATGTTAGGGTCTACGATACCAACGCCATGATGATAATGAAGGGCCTGGTAATATGAAACAATTGATTATTATAGAAAAATTAACATATGCCTTGATTTCAGAATCATGTTACCTGTATAAGTGTGCATTTAAATTAAAATGAATAATTTATGTTCCTCGCACGTTTATTGCTATAGTCATTACTGATGAACAAAAAGTTTGTAGCAGTTTTCATTATCGTTAGATGCCTTTCCATTTGCTTGCAGTGCCAATAACACAAATCATCATATTTGTCAACACAATTTACCAACCTTCATATACAAAAGTGTCATGCCTTAAAATAACCTGGCTGTTAATTTCATTAATTTCTTCATTTCTTCATTTGATAATTGTTTTTAATTAATTCGTTGGATTGGTGTGTATCAACAATGTCATTAAAAATCGTTTATAGATGTTCCTTCTTATGTCTTCAATTTATTTTCCTACCAAGCATTAAGGATTGGGAGCAAACTCACCAGTTATCGACTTTATTGTCCTCATCCCTGTTGTGTAATCTGAAACATAAATCGGGCTGAAGATAAATTGAAAAAATATATCTATTCATTACCATTATTATTCACGTGGTGGTGATTACACGTTTAATGATAGGAACATGTAATTTAAATTTGCTATCCCCCCCCCCCCCAACACTTGGTTCTACTATTCATGATGCAGAATATGTTTAAGTTTTAAGTTGTCTAAAACCCAGTTTAATCTTTTCTAAATCTATTCTTATTACAACCGGTGAATAAGCCACCTTGAATTTTAATAGATAGAATATTTCTTATTTGTGTTTTAATGTAATGAAGGGGCAGAGCAGGACCGATTTTGCCGACCCTTTCACAGGGACAAAATGTATTTAGCTTGAAGCTTTTTCAGCTGAGACTAATATATGTAATCTTGTTATCAAAGTTCGGAAGCAGCCTGTACATTTTCTGTACTAGTACTAGTAAAGGTAATTGTTATTACAATGTAATGTCATGTGTAATCTTAAAATTCCTTATAGTACTGTAGAGAAATTAGGCATATTCTATCTATGGTAATTCTGGAAAAAGGTTAAACTCACAACCATTCATATCCCATTAAGCTTGCGGATGTGGATAGAATGTCCTCTTTCGTTAATATCTAATGCAATTATCGAAGTTCATATTTTAAACTAAAAAGTACATCTTTTTCAATATATCATGAAATTATTTAATATCGCTTGATTCAACTGAGAGGGAAAATGGGGATATTATAAGAGCTAGGCCTGTTGAGCGAGATATCCAGTATAAATTTAATACTAGACCATCGTCAGCGTGCATCAAATGTTTCGCTTGCCTACTCCCAGAAAGACCAAAGATGCGAGAATGTACCAAGCCGCTCCAGATCCCCGTGCCTTTCCCGCCGAGGCTTGAGCCTCATAATTATATATGTCTGTCGTTGCCAGGTCGAACAAGCAGTATAAACTATTATAGATTAATACATTTTAATTTTTTTTAATTTTTTTAAATATTGTTTATGGAATATTGTCCATTAACGGCATCGTTTAACAATGTTAAATCTGGGATTCATGACCCTACGTGTTATCAGTGTCTGTGATAAGGTGTAGCACTAAACAAATTGTGCTTTAAACTCATCATAAAGTGCCTCAAAAGAAGTAAAAAAAAAAAAAAAAAAAATATATATATATATATATATATATGGAGGCTTTATATATACATGGCACGTGTGAATATGGGAAAGGGAAAAGATATTACTTACTTCACTATCAGCGCCATACACCCCACCTTACCAGCAAGGTCTTGTACAATTTCTTCAAATTGAGACGGTTCGACTGTAATTGAGAACAAATTTCGTACATTATGCATTTGTGGATTGTACATTTAGCCTCCATAAAATGTATGTTGTGATAACCAACATATTTAAAATAATGATTGTATATCTTAAATTGTGAGAAAGTCGTTGAATCTTAATCTCAACACGGAGCCAAAATAAAATAAATACTTGCAGTTCTATTGTACCCGCTAGAAAATAATTTATGAATGAATGTAAGTAGTGGTATAAGTATAATGTCATATGAAGATATTTTAGGAATTTGAGCAGGTAGTAATATAACAATAGCAAAATCAGTAATAGAAACACAAAACAAAGAAAAGAAAAGAAAAATTAAAAATCAACGAATTAGGATGTTTGGAGAAAAAGAAAATCCATACTTTTCCATCCACAGGGATTTCATTGAATTTCATTTGTAACAAATTAACAACCATATATTCAACGTAATTTACATTTATAATATAAATACAATTTACAACTGAAGATACAAATATTTCTTGAACTTTCGAGGTAACAGAAGACATACATTTTTTCAATAATGTATTTCTGATATTAATAGAAAAAAGGAAAGAATACAAAAAACACATATTACCGTTTGATTAGTATTGGGCTATACAATTACTTTGTTGTGACCACTGCTAATGATGAGGGGAAGAAATACCAACAAATTCTTTCATTTGATTTAATTTTCCTTAATTGAAACCATTATCGTGTGATAATCATTAATTAGAGTGTTCATATACTCTTCACACTGCTAATTTCTTTGGGGCAAAAGACATTCCGTTGGTTCAGTAATACTTAGTCATAATTTCCTCATACAATGTATTGATTTTTATATATGAAGAGTTTCATTCCAAAAGAAGCTAAATCTACTTTGGATACTTCTGAGTAAATCGCTATTTTTATTTCTCCACTTTCCCTTGAGCTAAATAGCTTCACGTTGGTATATATGTTAAAGGTGTCAGAGACGAAAATATATCATTTTTTCCAGATTTTTCATTTTTTACTAAATTTTTAGATTTTTTATTTTCGTGGATTTAGCTCCTTTTGGAATGAAACATGTTAGTGTACCTAAACAAAAATAACATATTTTCTCAATACAGTCATTGCAATTTTATTCACGTTTAGCAGCAATCCTTTAAAAAAAAAATAATAATAGTGAAATCACAACTAAAAACACTTTTAGAAAAGAAGGTAAACAACATATCACAGTTTCATTCCAAAAGGAGCTACATCCGTTCAATTCCAAAATGAGCTAAATCCATGTTTCATTCCAAATGGAGCTAAATCCCAAAAATCTAAATATTTGATAAAAATCAAAAATAACTGGTAGACTTTTTTCATATTATATATTATTGGTCCAGGGCGATATCTTTAACATATAAAACAACAAGAAGGTATACGGCTAAAGGGAAAGTGGAGAAATAAAAAAAGGTGATTTACTCAGAAGTACCCAGAGTGGATTTAGCTCCTTTGGGAATGAAACATGATATTGTACTTAAAGTTTTTCATACTTCCTGATGAAATTTTCTCATGTGATATAGTGCATTTTGTCCCCATGTAGGAAATCATTATTTTAAGACAAGAAACTCAATTTTGATAAAAATATGGATTTAGCTCCTTTTGGAATCAAGCTCTTCATATTCAAGTAAATATCATGTAATTTCTATTTGGTTTCTACTCGAGAGTGTGGTCGCTAAATATTTGTATCATGACTTCATGAGTATTTTAACAATTCTGCATTTATATGTAGGGTAGGTGTAGGGAATCGGAGACCGTAGGGAATTGGAGACTACCAAGCTTGAACCCATCCCTGTATGTCCGTGTTTGCTCCAATATTGCTATAGCGCCATTTGTAGCCTTTAACAACACTACTGCATTTAATCCAATTCATTTCGAAGACTACAATGCGTTCTTTCTCCGAGAAAATTAGCAACATTGACCAAGGTAACCAATTTTGATCGTAACATTTTGCTCTGATATAAAAACACAATTGTCACTGAATGTTGTAGTGTATGCAGATATTTAGGGGTGGCTCTTAAAAAGTAGTTTTAAAAGGAAGTTTATAAAGTGCACCAACTATCACAGAAAATTTATGACCATTATGTGTTGTGAATGGGTGTTGCAATGCACATTATAAATGTGGAATTATTATGGAAATGTGTGTAGGCAATGGGGGACACCAGGTCCAAGATGGGGGTCGTTTGTAGTGAATGTCGAGTATGCCGAGGACAGTCAATGAACCGATGCTGGTTGGTTAATTGTCCATGTACAGAAATATTTTGGGCCACATTGTTTTAAAATCGTTTCAAGATTACAGTAAGTTCATTGGCTGCATATATCTCTTTCAAAAAATGTTTGTACTAACTATAACAATCCC